ATTGTACGTGATATTAAGAAGCTTGTAAGTGGCTGTTATGTTTAAAATTAGTGTTTATGTAATTATTTTCAGATTATATATCCAATGTAGCCCCCAGGAGGGCTGTGATCAGTCTTACATCGGGGAAACAAAACAGCCACTGGCCAAAAGGATGGCCCAGCACAGAAGATCAACATCATCAGGCCAGGACTCTGCGGCCTACACTCATCTCCAGGCCAGCGGTCACTCTTTCAGGGATGAAGATGTTCACATCCTGGATAGAGAGGAACGATGGTTTGAGAGAGGAGTAAAGGAGGCCATCTTTGTGAAAAGAAATCGTCCATCATTAAACAGGGGTGGAGGCCTCCGGGTTCAACTGTCCCCCTCTTACAATGCTGTGATTGCTAGTATCACTCAGCCCTCTGTGAACAGTAAACAGCCATCAGTGTGCTAATGATCCATTGTTAGGCTGATGGTCCTTCTTGAGCATTGTGATCAGCTAGTTTTGGTTGTCAGCAGCAAAACTGGTTGATCCACTCTGAGACGGTGCTATTTAAGAGACTGAGCTGAATACAGCTCCTCAGACTGAGGAAGTCTCTCGGATGAGAGACGAAACGTTTCTACATTTTTTTGTTGATTTGCTTTGTTTTGTTTTTTTGAATGTCCAGAGGACCAGATTTGACTTTTTTAGAATGTAGGTTTTATTTATTGGAGGCAGTCAAATTTGTTCATAACTTTATTATTAGTAAGCCTGATAGTTACTGGATCCAAGCAAACAGTTACCGGAACGCACCCTGTCAAAATAAGAGCGTTCCCAGGTCCTGTTCCAGCAGAATGGAAAAAAAGTCATATTCACCAATGATCATAGTTCTTTGTATTCATAAAGAGTAAAACAAAATGATAAACTTGAAATTTGTATTTGCAAGTTTGTGAAGTTGTAACATTTTAAATTGTATTTTTATCAAGGAAACATACAATACATGTACAAATGCTAGTTATGCACAACTATTGTTTATGTTCAGGCTGCTCTTTAATGCACTGTATTATATTACATTATTATTGTTTAGCGTATATCTTAGATTCTTGTACTGTTTATTTTTTTATATACCATACATTATATTTTTGCTATTTTTGGGTGTAACTGGGACCTTGAGTACACAATTTCATTCCACATCATGTACCACATGTGATGGGAATGACAATAAAGAACCTTGAACCCAATGATTAATATGCACATATTTCTGTCTTTACGTATATATTTATTTTGACAGTGTTGTACCCCATTCATTGTTGGCCTTTAGATGGTCACACTGAGCTAGTTTAACAGCAATGTGCTCATATTAGAGTTAAAGGGTGACCCTGAAGGCACCATCCACAGATGAGAACTGTTTTATGTCTTTAGTGCAGCAGAAGTCTTGAGTAGAAAACCCACACAGTGAGCACCGGGGACACACTGGAAGCTGTTACATCGTGTGTTTGAGGAGCAGCTCGTGTGGTTCTGGGTGGAACTTACATGGATGGAAGACAATCTGACCATGTTCTGAAGCAGAAAGTGGTACAAGAGTCAGATCTTGTCATTAGAGTTCTGTCACTCCGTCTCAAAAGAAATGTCTCCAAGGCATCGCAGTCACTCTGCTCTGTTACATCCCCTTCATCAATACCTCCATTAAACATGACGCTGCATTACGTCCCCCATTGCTCTCACCTCTCGCTCATGTCCTCAGCTCTGTGTCCACTAAAAGGCTGGAAGCCGGCTCTCTGTGGGGAGGCAGGACTGCAGGGGGAGGCATGTCCAGATCGTCCCAGAGAGGCTCGACGGCTCCGTCGCCTCTCCAAGCCTCGTTGTTTGTCCACAACACCGAGGCTAGACCGTCGGCGATCCCTGCATCCTGTTGGTGGGGGCTGGCTGTTGTTGTCACCGTCTTCGTGTTGTAAGGTCATCTGAAGGTAAAATAGGAGTGATGATTTTAAACATTAGGTGGATTAAACTAAATATGGTCAGTTGGTCTCAACACAATTGATCAAATTTTCTCAACAAGAAGACCAGGCGAAGGAGAGCCCTCCTGCCCTGATGGGACACTGGCAGCCGGATACACGATGGATTACTGGGGGGAAGTGGAAGATCGTGTGTCTGTCCATTTTGTCAGTTGAGGACGCTGAAGATGTGTACATATTTGGATTCATGATAACAGGATTTCTGCTTTTTGGAGTTGGTATATCGACAAATTCAGAAAACGTCGATAGCTGTTCCGGCCATTGTAAAGCTGTCTGGCATGTCTTTGAGATGTACTAGTGAGACTGTAAAAGGCAGATGGAAATTAACGGCACTCTGCCTGACCCAAAACAATGTTGCTCTCTGAACCTGGCCCCCCGTGTAAGCCTTGGAAGGTTGACTCTCTCAAATTTTACTGGATGTTCTGTGAACAAGCCGCTCTGCTCCCAACTCCCCTCCCTTCCCCATATGTCTTTATGTCTGTATGCTGCTGTTTTTTTTTTTTTTACAGCCTCACGCAGGGTGGGTTTCACAGAGTGAGATATGAATTTCCCCTTTTTCTAATCTAACAAAAAAAAGGAAGCACCTCTCAGTGAGGCTGCAGCCTCAGGCACCCTGTCTGTCGTTTGTTGGTTTGTTTGTGTTTCTTCGTGTTTCTTCAGATAGGCTGTACTGAAATGTAATTTTGTTATGCTTCTGTGCAATGACAATAAAGCTGATTCTTATATAATTTACTATATATGCATATAATATAATTTTTAGGTCTCTCGTAAATGAGTACCCGAGGCTCACTGGGATTAATCTGTATAAATAAAGGTTGAATGAAAACTATATAATTTATTTAGCTCGTCTCTGACCTCATAGATGTTGAGCTGTTCAACCAAGTCCAGGTCAGTGCCTTTCCGTCCCAGGTGTCTCTGGGAGACAGTCTCCATGCTTTGTTCCTCCAGACTGTCCACCATGTCATAGAAGGAATCCTGATCAGGCAGAGCTGCAAGCGTCTGCAGCAACAAGAGACGTGAAAATGAGTCAGACTTTTCCAATTACACAACATTTTAGCTGGAGAAAGAAGTTCCTGAGGCAATACCCTAAATATATTGTGACTTCAAAAGTATTCACTCCCTTTGGTCTTCTCTGTTTTGTTATTTGATCATTTTGGTAGATGTATTTTCTATATACGTACATATACAAGTACACCATTAAAGCCATGTTTTTAGGGTCATAGTCCTGCAGTAAGGTAAACTTCCTCCCCAGTCTCTGAACACGTTCCCTAAGTATTCTCTATATTTTTCTCCATCCATCTCTTTTTTTACTGTTTCCCAGTTTCCCAGTCCCTGCTGATGAGAAACACCCCCACAGCATGATGCTGCCATCACCATGCTTCACTCTATGGATGGTGTTCTCAGCATGATGATAGAAGTTTGCACCAAACATGGTGTTGTCTTAGGTGGCTGAAAAGTTCGGTTTTAGTTCGATCCGACCACAGCACCTTCTTCTACCTGTTCGGGGAGTCTTCGGTACACTTTAAATCAAACTCCGATCAGTCAGTTTAACTCAATATAACCCTGGTTAATAATTTGAAATATGCACAAAAGAACAAAGAGCTCATAAATGTCTACATACCTTGTTAATGAGAGTCATTGCATAGACTAGCAGCTCAGTGTCCACTCCGTCCTTCTCTTGCAAGATCTCCATAGCATTGGACCAGGGCTTACAGCCTGAAGTGTAGTCAACAAACACTGTATTTATGCTTAAGAACATATTGAATTCCTAATAATATAAACCAAACAAATGTAAAGAGAAAGCCCAGTTGAGTCATGCCAAGAGTATTTTCACCTCTCTTTGTGTCTACTGAAGTAATGGCCTGTATCAGCAGCGGTGCGTTGGACTCAGAGTACTCCACAAACACCAGCAGCAGCTTCAGAGCTGTTTTCACCACCAGACGAAACTAACGAAGAAAAAGAAAACTTTACTTTTTCGTGAACTGTGAACCACTGCGAAACAGCCTCAATATTTTACATTACACAAATACTGCGGGTGATTCCCCAAAATAAAAATCAGGATTTTGTTAATTTATGCGAGTCTTTTTGTTTTTATTTAATGGCCATGTTTTAAATAAACTGAATTAAATATAGAAATACTAAAATGAAAACACCAAAACACAACACAATACAGAAGTATTTTGTGTGCCTTTTTTTTATGAATAGTGGTTAAAAATAAAGTTTTCCAAAGAACGGGTGGCTTCCCAAAGATAATGACAGACTAGACTTTTTTGGGGTCGTACCTTTGAGCCAATAAGAGTGTAGAGCCACTGGATTGTCTCTTGGTGGCCAATGACTCCATTCATCCCGTCCACGTATAGCATTATCTGCCCCAGAGCTGAGAAAGGAGGAGAAAGACGCACAATTTGAGACCAAAAACCAAAAGAAACAAAGAAAGAAACATGTAGCTATTTTGAGCAGCACCATAGACAAACTAAAACCTAGTGTGCACTGAAGGAATGCACATCCTCCTTTGGTTTTAAACTGCTCAGCGATCATCTTCTGTTGGGATATGAAAGTGCTGTAGACATTTTGGTTAAAATGTTGAAAACAACATCATGCAACACAGTTAGCTCTCATGTGATCTGTTAGCACTCAGAGTATGTGTTGAGGAGGACTTTTGACTACTACCACATCAAATTTTTGCTCAATATATGTACAACTGACTGACTTATAACTATTTATGTGATAGTTCCCCTTTCAAAAAAATTAGTTGCAGACATACATCCAATGATTATTTTTTGAGGGTTTAACTAAAATCCACCAAAAAGGTCACGCGATTATTTTAGCAGACAAGCTACAGAGATGGGCAAAAATACTATCTACTAATGAGCACAACAAAAAATATTTGAAAGTGCAATATTTGTTCAGCTCAGTACTTCCTCCACAGCAATGCAGGAAATTCCTGATACGGTATTTGAATGTCTCAACGTAAGTGCTAAAAAAAAACATTTTGAACTCAAACTGATCTGGGAAAGCAAGAAATCATAAAGTTATTTTGTAAATACGTTGTTCCTTTTACGCACCAGCTCGTTCAAAATGAATTGAAAGGTGCGTCCATGACTGACATGTAGTGATTTCTATCAATAAGTGCTTAAATTAACCTAATTTAAACATAAGTTGGTTCTCAAACCAGGGTCCCCAGACCCCCGGGGGGTCAACAAGCCGGTGCTTGGGGGTCCACAAAAAAAAAATACATATATATATATATATATTTACAAGTTCGTAGATGTTTAACAACCTGTTAAAAGACACCTAATGCAGAAAATCACATCTAGTTTATTCAAAATTTTCTGGGGGGCCTCCCCCAGACCCCACTGCCCCCACCTGCCGGCCCACCCACTAGTTGTGTTCCAGCATCGATCTGTTTACAAATGAAGACCTGTTACTCATATTTGACTACTGCTGTTAGGATTCAGTTCAGTTTGATGTAAAGAGTTTTCTGTAGTAATTTGAAGAAGTGTCAGTACATTTACTATGTTCATTGTGTGAATAGGTAAAGTTTTAAAGTGTTTTTTGATGCTGTTAATTTACTCAAAACTGTCATTTTTGGAAGTTGATATAAATAAATAAAAAGTTGATTAAGTGTATCTTGAATAATAAATACTACACGTTAAAAAGTATAAAAAACATGTATTAACACTATGAAAGAATAGGTCTTAAGTATTTATGTTACACAAATATTTCCATTGCATTCCATTAAAAAACCTTGAACCTTAAACTAATTAATGTAATTACTACTTCATTCAGTTTACATTTACAGTATTTTGTCACAAATTCATCTATGCTGCAGAAAATTCACAGCACACAAAGCATTAAACCAAATCACAAGTGAAGTTATCGGTAAGTTAAAACTGTTTTTGCATTGTGAAGGCTCTGCAGAGGCTGTGATAGATTCTTAGATGGTCCTTCACTTTAACTCTTCATTGTGAAGATACAGGTACATGCATGTTTTTAGTCTGTGGGAGGAAACCGGAGTACCCAGATAAAGCCCACTCATGCATGCAAGACTCCACCGAGGGGGGCCCCCGGCCACGATTTCAGCCAGTAACCTGCTTGCTGAGGGGCAGCAGCTCTACCAACTGCGCCACTGTGCCGCCCCCAACAATATATTTAAAAATAATTGTTTTTAGATCAAACCTGATACATTTCCTGTAAATCTTCTGTTGGCATTGAGGCCAGCGAGGGTCCATTCAGACCCATAATCAAATGTTTCATGAAAATGGGAGCAAGAAAGAAATTCACCTCTTAATATGTAGTTCTGGTAGTTCTGGTCGGCTTCCGCTCCCACCTTGATGAGACATGTCAGACCTTCAGCCATCACAAACTCATGGACCAAGTCTTTGTCATCCTAGAATAAAGAAAAGACCAAAGAAATGAAGTCCAACTGTCTCCATACAACCAAAGCTGCACAAAAAGCCTCTCTTCCAGAGCTCATGATGCTCCATGCAATACCTTAAATATCCACCAGGTGTCAGTAGTGTGCAAGATGAGGATTAAAACTGATTTCCACTCAACTCCATGTGTAGTTGGTTACCAAACTTGTAGTTTGTCTGCCTCACACATATTTTGCACAAACTGACAAAGCTGAGTAAACCTGAGCAGCAGAAATCTGTGATGACGGTCCCTCTTTATACATTCACATGCAAACATCGCAGACCAACGCAAAGTCTTGCAGATGAATGCAACCTCAGTGGCTACAATAACCATCTGTATTCTGTCGCAACAAACTGGATGAGAAATATGTGTGCTACCTGAAATATTTGCTTTAAGGAGAACAGTGCCCTCCTCAGGTCACGCCCATTGGAGTTGTAGAGTTTTTCTGCAGAGAGACACACACATAAACATAAATCAAGACGTTCAAACATTATCTGTCAGCAGGCTATGCTTTATTTTTATTCTGATGAGAGCAGCCTCAGCTGTGTAAAACACAGACCATCTGGGTTTAACACAGCAATTAGATGGAGCCCATCGCACCTTACCGCTCCAGTCCCCTCAGGTGGAAACATTATCACACACTCTCAGCGTCCTCTCACGACATGGGCATGACATGTTCCTCACACAAAAACATACATGTAGGAGTCGTGATTAGAGTCGAACTGGAACGTTAACGAGCTGCCAGCCGGGTTTGAACAGTGAGGTATTCAGGTCACGAGACGGAAAAAGTTCAAGACACTGATATTTAACTTATCTGAAGCTGATTTACTCTCAAATTATATTTGATTAAAAATAAAAAATAATCCAACTCCAACAACACCAGGCTGAACACCGGTGATGTTGAAGAAAACTGCAGAATGAATGCAGCAACTCTGAAACCTCACAAATAATTAGAATAATAAAAGTTAAGTGCCCCAACAGAGACAATACACAGTTTCATGCTACATAAACCCTCTGTCTGCACTGAGAGTATTGTGGTGTTTTTGTGTACCAGGTGTTGCCATTCTTTGTGCGTTCTATCTGTCTCATTAGTCTCTTGTGTTCTTGACAACCGTACGGTGGAAATACAATGTTGTTGAAGAATATAGGTCAGGGATCTGCAAACTTTAGAGCTATTTTTGCCATATTGCTCACTAAAATGTGTCCCGAGCTGCAAAATGCGCTACAGCTGTGATTATCAACTGGTGGCCAGTGGACCACTGTTGGAGGGGGCTCTTTACCACCAGTAGGGGTGACATTGTTACACTACAAATATCGAATGATTGTTAACATTTACTGATGTTCTTACATTTTAAGATGAAATAAAATACCAGATACAAGTAGAACAGGGACAACATATATTGTTTTTATTTATTTTATTTTTTTAAACCAATTTTATAAAAAATAAAACACTGAACCTGGCAGGCCTAATCTCTTTATAATTATGATAAATATATTTAAGTACTCTTCTTTGAATAAATAAATAATATAGTTATATTTAAAATAAAGGCCAGTTTGTTGAATATGTAATTGAACTTAAAAACAAATAAATACTTCTATTTACATTTACATTTTTATTCTTATTGTCATTATATCGACACTATTCTTAGCGATTTGTCTTAAAGGTATTCCAAAATTATTCTGGATTTGGGAGAAATAACACCGTACGACTGGAAGTTGGTTTAAAGAAGCAGCTAACAAACTATTAGCATGATGTAGTCAACAGGTTTTACTCTGTATTAATACTATCATACACATATTTGCTAATGACTGGAAAACTGCTAAAACTAGTACTTTTTTGTTGGTATAAAAACCACGAAAATTCTGTTTTATGTTAGTTTTGGTCAAAGAGCTGTTGCAGAGGGACCAAAGAGCCACATATTGCCCCAGAGCCAAAGGTTGCAGACCCCTGAGTTAGATACCATACCATACCATTTTATTTATAGAGCTCTTAAAACAGCGACAAGGCCAACCAAAGTGCTGTACAGACAGAACAACAGGTAACACATGAAGCAAAATACAAAATTAAGTAAATCTGAATATAGACATAAAAACGATAATGACGACTAGATGTTTGTGGTTGCGTGTTTGTATTCCTGAAGTACTGTAGTCCTTTGCTTATTGTGGGGTATAGGGACCCCCCACCCCCCATCCATCCATTCATCCATCCATTTTCTTCCGCTTATCCGTGGTCAGGTCGCAGGGGTAGCAACTTAAGTAGGGAGGCCCAGACTTCCCTCTCCCCAGCCACTTGGTCCAGCTCCTACAGGGGAATCCCGAGGCGTTCCCAGGCCAGCCGAGAAACATAGTCCCTCCAGCGTGTCTTGGGTCTTCCTCTGGGCCTCCTCCCGGTGGGACGTGTCCGGAACACCTCACCAGGGAGGCGTCCAGGAGGCATCCTAACCAGATGCCCGAGCCACCTCAACTGGCTCCTCTTGACGTGGAGAAGCAGCCCCACCCCCCACGTGCTATAAATGAAAAGGTACAAAGTAGGGATAGTAGTACAAATAGTAATAAAAGTAGTATATATATATATATATATATATATATA